CTAAAGAACATGGAGAAACAGAAGAAAAAACACGCCAACTATAAACAAACTATATAATAACAGGTATAAGGAGAGAGAAAGAAAGGAATAGAGAGAGAAAAAGAAAAAAACTCACAAATAGATAGACAGAGGAACTGAGAGAGAGAAAGATGCTCAGTAAAAAGACAAAGAGATTGATAAATAGATAAATGAACAGAAAAATAGAGGGAGGGAAAGAGACTACAAAGTAAACAAACAGACACACAAAGACAGGAAGTGAAGGAAAGAAAGAGAAAGAGGCAAGAAAGAAACAGAGACAAAGACAAAAACGGAGAGAGAGAGAGAGATACAGACAGACAGAAAGGTAGACAAAAAAGAAAACGAAGAACTGAGAAACAAAGAAAAAAAAAGAAAAAAGAAAGAGGCAGGGAAAAAAAGAATGGAAGAGTGAGAATGAATTAGCAAATGCGGGGAGAAAGAAAGAGGGAGAGAACTGATGCAGTACCACAACGGGTAGACGCGAGCGAAAGAGGGGCAGGATGAAAGAGAAATGGATGAAAGGATGCGGAAAGGAGAATAAAGATAGCGCATAAAATAAGAAATAGATAACACATGAATATGTTGCAAAAATAGATGAAAAAGGCGGAAAATAATCCCTTTTGGTGCAATACACAGATCAGCTTTATCTTTATTAGATACATTATCACTAATGATAGCAACGTCGTCTTTTGAACGGAAAAAGAGGCGAATTGGGATCTTTTGTTTGTGGCCAAGTGTGTTCCAGCACCCACACACACCCTCACACACAGACAGACACACATATACACACACGCACACACACACACACACACACACACACACACACACACACACACACACACACACACACACACACACACACACACACTCACACACACACACACACACACTCACACACACACACACACACAAAGGCACTCGCATATACACGGGCAAACATACTCACACACGCATACACATACACAGGCACTCTCTTTCATATATAAACATACACACGCGCGCACACACACACACAAATTCACACACAGAGATTCATAATGCATGCGCGCACGCAAGCTGCATATATCACAGTGAATTTTGGTTAATACCATTAGTCCAGGCGATACACAGCACCCAAGTGTTTTAGGATATACAGCCTCATGGCCGACATATTAAAGGCTATGATGATACAAAGTCGTTTCGTCGAACTTCCTGTCCAACCCTTGGCATTTTACACTAGTCGTTGATACGGTCCAAAGGCATTGCGCGTGCCCATGCACTTGCGAAAGCCACACTTAAAACTAGGCAGTTAGGCATTTAGCAGAGATCCGTTAAAAATATTTTGATGAAACTGAAATTATAGAAATAAGGCAAAACGAACGAAAACCAGTCAGTCTTTCTAACCTCCACTTGGGTGCTTTGAAAGGCTTCGGTTGCCACCGATGCCAGGAGAGGGAACTTCAAGAAATCATGCCAGTGAGCCATAAGTATATGTGTGTGTGTGAGTTTGTATAGTCTTGCCACGAGGGAAGTGTAAATGAAAATGATAGCCAAGGATGTGATTATTTAGCAAACGTTTCAAAGACTTCATCTTCAGTGCTAGAAAGAACGAACAAAATAAATATATTAGAGCCAGTCAAGGCAGGAAAAAACGGTTCAAAACTATAAAAATCACAAAATAAAAGAAACAAAGAGAAAGATAAACGGAAAACAAGAGCCGTGTGTGACAAAAGAAAAGACAAGTAAATCACACCATAAAGATCTGAACAGGTAGATACGGTCACAGAACTACCCCGTAAATAGCTGTGTGGCTGTTGTGGTTGTTCAGCTCTGGCTTCATTTGGAGATTAGGAAGTCGAGTTTGCTGGAAACTGTGGTCAGAATTTTGAGATCTTTGTGAGTAAAGAGGTGGTTTTCCATGTGTGAAGGTTGGCGAATAACAGAGAATGCCGGTTTGCGTAGAGGTAGGCCTGTTCTTATTGACTTCTCCATATGGTCAAAACTTCCGTGCTTGAACCAACATGTCGTTAATCCACTATACCTAGAATTATGCTGGGACACTTAAACATATATACAATGTTCGGACATAAGTCTGAAGCAATAGACTCTCTTCTTTAGAAAAGTGCTGATAGTATGGTTATTCGTGAAAAAAAAACTTATTGAATTGTTCCAGGGGAATGAATATTTGAGCAACTCACGTAATTGTTTTCGAACGTTATAACTTAATCGTCCCAATTACGGTAAATTGATCTATTTGTTTGCTTAGGAAGGCTGGCAAAACATTGCTTAAGAATAATCTCAGGGTTAACCCTGAGATTTAGGAAAACAATAATATGAAGTGTAATACCAGAGTTCAAAGTTTTATTCTACCATCATTATCGAAAACTTCATAAAAACTTTATCAAAACTTCCATTATATCTTTCCTCACAAGGCCATTGATAATATCTATAGTATCACTACGTTAATATCGCAATCTTATTCATTGGCCATTCATTAGCATGC